ATTAATCTTAATTTTATCCCTGAGCTACACTTTTTCCAGTATATGAGCTGTTTGGAATTCTTAGGAGATGATAGAAATACAAGTACTAAAATGTACTGTATTCCTCAGTTTACGACCGCAGTTGGGACTTCTGTCACTAAGCAATGTAATGGTTAAGTGAATTGTGCCTGATTTTTACAACCATTTTTCTGTGGTTGTTCAGCAAATCCCCATGGCCATTAAGCAAATCATATGGTAGTTCAGCAACTTTCCCCATTGACTTGCTTGTCAGAGATCCCCTGGGAAAGTTGTATATTGCGACCCTGGGGTACCACAACTATTATAAACTAGCTGGATACCCGTGCTTTGCTATGAAAATATGTGATCGGGCTTAGGATCGGGGGAGGAAAATAAGGGGGTGGGGGGGAAATTCTGCTTCTGTCTACCAGCATCCATTGGTATTCATCTGACTAGCGTCCTGTCAGTGTGTGAGAGAGTTGAGGGCTGTTTGGAAACTGAAATCATATTTGCTGTGTGAGCAAGGAGACAGCAAGGAGCCCAGGTATGGCTTAGCTCAACTGTTCTGTACTAAAGCTGCTTGGTGCTATGAAACTCAAACTGAAACTCCTCTCCTGTGCTTGTGTTTTGCATTGGAAGAGATTTCTTTTCAGGTGGGAAGGGGGAGTAGAACTCCTTAGCATCAGAGAGTGTTAACAATAATATAGGAAATACTAATGCTCTGATGGTCATTTTGAAAAATCCTTTCTTAGTGAGCACCTAGAAGCCCAAATTTCAAGTTTGTAGGCTTTATGGTTCTGGAGATTTTGTGATGATGTGTGAGTGGTATTTCACTTTTATATACTGTATATAGATACATGCTGGTTGTCAAGACCCCAAATTTTGGTTATACGACTGCAAGGATGTTGTGATGGTAATAAGCCCAAGAACCAGTCATAATTCCCTTTTTCAGCTCAGTTGTAACTTTGAGTAGTGTTTATATAAACGGTTGTAAGTTGGGGAGTACCTATAGTTTCAATCTTTGATTGCTCAATTCGGTAAATCACAATTAAGCCCATGAGTTTTATTAGTGAAAAAAGGGTTGCATTTGAGCAGACAAGGAACAGCTTTGTACAAAGACTGCTGATAGCTCAATCCCTTAAGCAAATCATAAGACTTGTTGCTGTAGTCAGGGCTTATGATATATCTGTGTGAAATATTCTAGAGCCCAGGGACATTAAAATTCCTTTCCATAGTATTTACATCTTCCAAACAAGAAAAGGAGTTGCTGTAGGCGGTGTAGTAGCTGTCATACATCCAACCTTGGGTTTCCTTTTAACAGCAGAATCCTATTATATATCATGCGTTACTTGTAAAATGTTGCAACCTCACATTTCCTTTTAAAACCATAATGCTCTCCTATAAAACTAACGACTCTTAAAATGCAACTCCAATTAAGAAGGATGTGTATTTATGGACACGGTCAAAATTGAGAGACAGCATTCTAAGATAGCCAGATCTAATCTTGAAATGCTGGCATCTCAGCCGTACGGACAGAAAATTTTACACTAAAAGCCTGGTTAGAAAATAATAACACGACAACTTCATGGATCTGAAATGGGGAGAGCAAAAGGAGATAAAAAATGTCAAGTCCCTTTTTTAAAAAGCAAAACACTTCTCTCTTTTTTTAAAAGAAAAAAAAAACACCTGACGTTACTATACCGCTAAGTAGTTTTGTACTGGAGAAATAAGGAACCTGTTCACACTTTATTTTTTTTAATCACATAGTGTAAATCTGAAGATACTTGCTCAAGAAAAAAAAAACCTCTATGCAATGGCACTTCTTCCAATTAATGTTTTTAGCAGCCTTGCACAGCCAAGTGTCACATTCCAGTTATGTTGGCCTTCATGGTGTTACAAGCTTAGAGTCTTGCAAAAATCAACTTTTGGTTTCCTCTCTTAAGTGGGAAGGTCCATGCCCTACTAATAAACCTGCCCTGTGGCTTTGACAGACAATAACTGTTTTTTTTTTTTAATACTGTAGATTATTTTCAACTTTACAGAAGCTTTTCATTGCTGCAATGTAGAACAAATGGAAGACAAGAATTTTTTTTTTTATTAAAAAAAATTCTTTCTAGGGAATAATGGACACATTATTGTTAAAAGTGTAGCAGATAGGGTTTGTGGGGGATTACATTTCCCTGCCAACCAGAAAGAAAGAAAGAGTGCTACTTTGACATTTATTACCCTGCAGTGTAAATCTCTGTTTCTAGATTTTTATCACATGAGTCGACTGGTTGTTTCCTGAAAATGTCTCTGCTTCATGTTTTTTTTTTTTTGCTTCTCTCGTGGATGTACTCAGGGGTCTTAAGACAGTCACTTTAACAGAAGCCTACCAGAGAAGCCTACCATTTCAGCAAGATAAAGAGACAGCTAAATACTCGCTTGTCCTCGTTATTCTTCATTGTAGTGTCTGTGATTTCCACATGTGGATTTGTGCTTTCAGGAACTTCTTTATAACCCTTTAAAATAGGTATTTCCATGATGGGAATCCTGCCCTCTGTGGGGCTCTTTAGCATCTGCCTAAACTAAAATAATTCTTTTCCAAGCACAATTCTCAAAGAATCTCTTTAGCAAGATTTATTGAGAAGAACGAGATGGGTTTGCAAGAGAGCCAGTAGCTGCATTGTTTCCCTTCTAAAATTCAGTATATCCCCAAGTACATTAGAGCAGATGCTTCTTTTTTCTTCTTCTTAACTGCTTTACTGGGAGGTTGCAAAGCGTCGGGTATGGAGGTGGCGAGGCAAACAGGCGCTGAGGCAGCAGATAACTTTTTGAAAGTCCACATATAACAGAGGTAGTCCTCAACTTATGACCACAGTGGAGCCTAAAATTTATAGAATAGAATTCTTTATAGAATTCTTTATTGTCCAAGTGTGGTTGGACACACAAGGAATTTGTCTTGGCGCAAATACTCTCAGTATACATAAAGAAAAGATACACTAGTCAAGAATCATCAGGTACAACACTTAATGATAGTCATAGGGTACAATAAGCAATCAAATCATATTGGGAAACAGTCAATATAAATCGTAAGGATACAAGCGACAAAGTTAGAGTCATACAGTCACAAGTGGGAGGGAATGGGTGATAAGGAATGATAAGAAGATTAACAGTAATAGTAGTGCAGACTTCGTAAATAGTTGAACAGGGTTGAGGGAATTATTTGTTTAGCAGAATGATGGCTTTTGGGAAAAAACTGTTCTTGTGTCTCCTTGTTCTGGTGTGCAGTTCTCTATAGTGTCATTTTGATGGAAGGAGTTGAAACAGTTTATGTCCAGGATGTGAGGGGTCTGTAAATATTTTCACAACCCTCTTTTTGATCCATGCAGTATACAGGTCCTCAATTGAAGGCAGGTTGGTAGTAATTGTTTTTTCTGCAGTCCTAATTACTCTCTGAAGTCTGTTGGGTTGCAGAACCAAACCAGACAGTGTTAGAGGTGCAGATGACAGAGTCAATAATTGTAGAACTGTATCAGCAGCTCCTTGGACTATGCTGCTAAGTGAGAAATTGGTTAAGAGAGTTTTCCCTGATTTTTCAAGTCACGTTTGTTAAGCGAACCACGGCAGTTGTTAACTCAGTGACACGGTTGTTAAGTGAATCTGGCTTCCCCATTGACTTTGCTTGCCCAAAGGGGATCACACAACTGCAAACATCATAAATACGAGTGGTTTGCCAAGCTTCCAAAAATATAAATCACATGACCACAGGGATGCTCATATGTGTAAAAAAAAAAAAGGTCATACGTCACTGTTTTTAGTACCGTTGTAACTCTGAATGTCACCAAATGAACTGTTATAACTCAAGGAGTACCTGTGTAGGAAAAACTTTGTATCTTTTCCTTCATCCAAACCTGCTTTTGTTTTGTTGGAAGACAATGTACCATTTAGATGCATCTAATCCTGATTCTCTTCCAGCTCTTCCTGGTTCTGCATATTTGTATGCCAGATTATGGCAGTAGTAAAGCCACCCCTATTTATCCTTTCTCCTAAGATGTGTTAGAGCAGTAGTGGCTAACCTTTTCCGGCTCCTATGCTGAAAATTGCGTGTGTGGTTGTGTGCGCTTGCTCGCGTGCCAGCACCCAGAAGGCAGTGCATGCTGGGGGCCCCCATGCCCCCTGCGCATGTGCATGTGATCACCCCTGTGCGCCATGCATCTTTGTGCATGCATGTGCAATGTCCCCCATGCACACAGCACGTTTCTGTGCATGCGTGTGCTTCTCCTGCGCACCCCCGTCCCCGTGCATGCGCGCCAAATACCCGGCAATCAGCTATTGGGCGGCAGTGCATGCGCGCATGCATAGTGAGACTCTTTTGGGTGACCTCTTGCGTGCTGGCAGAAGTGGCTCTGCGTGCCACTTCCGGCACACGTTCCATAGGTTTGTCATCATGGTATTAGAGTATGGTTGTCCTATGTTGGCAAATATATTTCATATATATTCATATACATTCGTATATATATACCAACAATGGTGGGATTCAAAAGTTCCCACCACCGGTTCTGTGTGCGTGGCTTGGTGGGCATGGCTGCAGGGGTGGGATCACGCAACTTGCACAATTGCGCGTGTATGCGTGCCAAACACGTGCGTGTTTACCACTTTAAAACAGTAAAAACTAAGCTCCTGCGCTTCTCAGCTGTCTAACACAGCAATCTGCTCTGCCGCGGCAAACAGCTGAGTGATTAAAAAGGACCTAGCGGGGGTGGGTGGGCCCAACTGCAGAGCGTCGGAGAGGCTCGGAGCGAACCGGTTCTCTGTCAGCTGATCTTCGGCGCTACTGGTACGCCAGACCTGGGCCGAACTGGAAGACTACCACTACTGTATCTCAAGTATATATATTTTTAGTTCACCAATAATTCCATTGTGAGATTCCAAAGAACACATGAAGGATGTTTCCTCATCAAGTTTTCAAGGGGATTTTTGGTTCCTTAGCAAAATACCGTCCTCTTTTTCTTTCTCCAAAGGAAGCCCTGCAAAAAATCAGACAGAAGAATACCATGAGGCGGGAAGTAACTGTGGAGCTGAGCAGCCAAGGATTCTGGAAGACAGGAATTCGTTCTGATGTCTGTCAGGTGAGTTGGAGTTCCTTTTCTCTTCCTAGGGGATGGTGAAAGTCAATTTTAACTTAAGGCTCTTTCAAACCTGTGGAATACAAATAAGAAGGAGCGTGGCTCCCACATTTTCAAAATTCAACAAATCTACTTTTGCAGATCTAATCTTGGAGAACCTCGGTACTTTTTGCAATTTTTTTGCTCAGGTAAACAAAAGATATTGTATAGCACACTCATTCTGTTCCCTTTCAGAATAGTCCTAGAGAATATCTATATGGTTGCTCATAGACCGTTGAGTTATGACCAATTTGTTGTCACATAATCAACCAATCAAATTTCAGAAGACTGCAGATTATAAGGCACATATACTCATTTCTGGACCAGCCCTCAGTAGAGAATAGAAAGGGAAAAATGTTTATGAAAGCAGAACTGCACAATAATCCTTCAGCGAGAGGAATTCTCAATCTTGCTTAATGTTTTATTTTTATTATTCTTGGTTGCTTTGAAACTGAGATGTACAGAGTGGAATTGGTATCCCTCCTCTTACCCCCGATGTTCTTCTTTTTATATGTAGCTTTTGTTCTTGAGGAATAAATGTTCTAATGGAAAATCCATGTCAAACAGCATTTTTCTTTCTTTTAGCACTTACATTGTTCATGGCCTTGAAATCTTGTGCAGTTTATCCACTGAAATGTTCTTGTTCTTTTTATTGTGAAGGACAATGTACCAAGTGGCAATGAAGCTGCTTTCCTTCAGAATCCATTGTTTTTGAGAGAAAACTACATAGATATAACATATCCATATTCATATATATTCATATGTATATTCATATATTCCCCCCAAGATGTCAAAGGAGATGTATCTTTACATGTACCGTATGCGTGTGTCTGTATATGTATCTATCCCTATTGCTATCTATGCTGCTTCCTGCCAGATTAAAAAGGCAATAGGATGCAATTAAGTGTGTAGTGCGACTGTGAACACAAGCACATTACAGGGTAGTTGAAAGTTATTGGTGTAGTATTTTTTCTTTCTTGCCCAGTGGAATAGATTGGTTCAGGATTAGAGTTTCAATTTAATAAATTGAAATGTCCTTGTGTTCAATGTGCTGCTAACAAAATACCTGGGCATGGTCCCTGGGCATGATGGTTGCAGAGTTTTCACAGAAAACTGTGTTTTCACTGGCCCATGGACAGACAGCACAACCAGGCAAGTGAAGAACTTAGGGCTTTAGACATATAAGCTGCATCTCAAAAGCTCTTCTCTTCCCACCTTGAGAACCTCCATGGAGAGGCACTGAAGAGACCCCCTCTGCTCTACAATGGATTGCTCCTTGTAAATGAGTAATCCCTGGTGGTTATCCAAACTCCAGTTTGGCATGGGTTCTAGATTGCATGCTTGAATGATGAAGGTCTTGACCATCTTCTGAAAATGGCTATCGCTTCCCCCTTCTTCTCTCCTCAAAACTAAACATTCTCAGTTCTTTTATATCTCTTCATAAGACTTTCCAGGACCCTAATCAATTTATTGTTGTATTTTTATGTTCCAGGTTGTCTCCTCTGTAGAACCAGTAGCTCTGAAGAGCAGCAGACATAGAACCGGTTCTATGTCTGCTGATGTTTTTGCCCATGCGCCCACCCGGGCTCTTACCGGATCTTTATTTCCTGATTTTTCAACTTCAGCTGCCGAACGAGGCACAGCTGCAGTTAAAAAAGCAGGAAAAGAGGGCTGCTTCAAAGGCTGCGTCTCTGCACACAGCATGCTGATGACAATTTACAGGCGCACGGCTCACAGCGTGCAGGGAAGCTCGTAAATCCCAAACTGGTAGTTAACCCTATTGTATCCCACCCCTGGGTTGTTTGAATACTTTTTAAAGCAGAGTGCCAAGAATTCAACACTGTACTCAATAAAGGGGTCACACTAATACAGAATATTGCTTCCCTTGTTTTAGAAACCCTACCTCTGTTAATTATCCAAAACATTATTGACTATGATTGAGTATATGTATATGTATAAAAATGTTTAGTTTAACCGTCAGTGATGTTCACTTTTCCTCCCTTCCTAAACCTCTGGGTCTATCTGTTCTGGTTTCCATAATCTGAGCCCTTAGATTAGGGGTATCAAACTTGCATCGTCACAGCATCGTCACGCGACGTATTACAACTTCCCCCCCCTTTGCTAAACCGGGTCTAGGTGTGGCCAGTATGTGAGTAATCCAGCCTGAGTTTGACACCCCTGCCTTAGATCAATATACAGAAATTCTAGAATTCCACTCAGGAGTCCGTTATCCCAATTAAATCATGGATATACTGTATGATTTAGATAAATTCTATACTTCATCATTTTTATCTTCTGTAAATGTTGGGGGATGGTGAATTAAAAATAACATTTTATTGGACCACTCTGGGAATTAATTGTTACACTTTGAATTTAATTTAAGCAGATAAGGAGGTAAGCAATGATCTCCCATATCTAAGATGGATCTGTACCCACTACTTTACTAGATAATGTAAAAACTTAATTCTCCCTGCTTTATCATACACATATCCCCTATGCAGCATGGGTATAATGTACTGCTGTCTTTCAAAGCCTTTGTAAAAATTATGGAAGTGCTAAGAAGAGTTGCAATGTATATTATGAATGTAAAGTAGTGGCTAAAAGCAGTGTTTAAGATCTTGTTGCATTCAAGGATTTTCGAGTGTGAATTGTGATGATTCTTTCTCTAGCATGCCATGATGCTTCCTGTCCTAACACACCACATCCGTTACCATCAGTGTCTGATGCATTTGGACAGACTAATAGGCTACATTTTTAAAGACCGGTGTTTATTGCAGGTGAGCTCATGTTGACAATCATATACATGACAATCATGACTACTGTACTAAGTTGGGATAAAAAGAAGGGAACAGGAAAGAAATGTATTGGTATCTTCCTATTAATGTTTAAATTCATTTGCCCAAACACAAGTGCCCTCCAAATGTGTGGCCTTTAATTCCAGGATCCCCCCATCCTTCTCCAAAATCCAATTCATTCAGGGAGATTGTGTAGTAATAAAGCCTAGATCCTAAGAGTTTAGCCTGGGGACAGGAACTAAGTGAGGTACTGTAGTTGGAAAAAGAGCCAGAACACAGTTGATCCAACTGAGCTGTGATCATTGAACAATGGCTGATTAGATAGGAAAAAAATGGAATGGGAATGTAAAATAAAGGACAGCAATATGGTACGGTAAAGTTTAAAATTGTAAATATTTTTTATATTAAAAACAACAAAAGGCTGTGTGATTGCAAAGAATTTCAGGATTGTTATCTGGAGAAGTCAAAATTTCATAGAACGTGTTATTCCCTGGTAAGATTGCAACATCTTGCTCATTTTATTGGCTTTGGAGAGGATCCTGTTCTGAAATTGTTGCTGATCTTTGGAATAAGAATTAAGTAGAAACAAACATGGATGAAGAAGAGAAGTATAGAAAGCAGGATGTGGACATAGATGGAAGCAAAAGTTTGGAAAGGAGTCAAGATGTAATCTCACATCTATATTTGATGATGTGCAATCCATTAACTCTGGTTTGAATTATTACTCAGGATGCAATTTCAGTACTTCTGACAGAATAGGTGTGAAATTTAAGATATCTTCTTGAACTGTCATAATGTGACAGTCGTGGCCATTTTTAACTGATGTTCCAGTTATGACCCTGCCTAGATCAGGATATCCTGCTACTTGGTGCCTTGATCAACAATAGCTGGATTTGCAAGGCACACTATTTGGAGAGAACTCAGAACCTGCAACTTGTTCAGAATGTGAACAAGTTGGCGGGGGACAGCTCTGCCATTTAGAATAACATCTACTGTGAGGCCACGGGATTGGCTGCTAATAGGTTTCAGGGGCCAGTTTTAAATGGGGGTTGTCCCCTAAAAACTGTATATGGCGTATCATCTGAAACTGCACATTGCTGAATGTGACTCTGCTTAGCAGAGCCTGAGCACCTTGAGAAAACCTACTGAAGACATCCCCATCAAGCAGGAAGGGTGTGGGTTAGGTGACAGGGCTTCTGTTGACCCTGAAGATGACCTATGTGTCGCCATATTTTATTTTAGCTTTTGTCTATCTTTTTCCTTAGCTTCTTTAAGCTTTCTGCCAAAGACTTTAGTGCTATTTTAGGTTTGCCACTTTTTAGCTGGTTGGGGGGGGGGGTTGTAGAGATAAGGGGGGAGGGTTGTTATATCTAGGTGGCATTCTTTCCCATAAGAACAGAGAAAGTTCCTGCAGCTGGAGGAAGGTGGCGTTTGGAGTCACCGATTGATGGACTGAGAATTGATTGGAGATTGTGACTCTGGGGGGAAGTTTCAAACTTTTGCTTTTATTGGGTGTAATTCTGGTATCTAGCCAGAGTCAGAATTGCACCAGATCCTTGCCAATTTGATATGTCCCTAATAAACAGACTTTAAAGAAACATGGATGCCTTGGATTTTTATTCAGGGGACTAGTTACTTGGAAGCTTCTGTGAAGAAAAGCCTCCATGCTTTGGAACATACTTTCCCCCAGAAATACTTCTGGTCCTATCCTTCCATTTTCCAAGGCAATTAAAATAAAACTTTTCCATTGTGCTTTCGACCAATATTGATAATGGGTCTGCAAAGAGTTTATCATTTTAATGATCACCTCATTATTTTATTCTGTTTAATTCTACTTCGTGGCTCGTCGTCTACCGACATAATTGATCACAGTGATTTATAAATATTGCAAAATGAACAAAGAAGTACATAAATATCCTGGTGACGATAAAACACAATGTAACAGGCAAAATGTAACAGACAAAACTTAAGACCAAGTATCTGAAAGTAAGTTTACTAGGCACAGTGAGGGCTTTCTTCTGAATTGTCATGCATAGCATTTCACAGATACTATCATGCTTGAACTCTTTGCAAAAGAACAAAAACAAACCAGAATTAGATTCAACAGATTCTCACAGAAGAATTATATTTTATTATAACTATGCATTTAATATTACAGTAGTATTTGCCTGTAATATCGTATCAAATAATGAGAGTTTGGAGTTTATTTCACCTAACTAGATTAAACACTTCCAACAACATTTGGAAAACCATAAATGACTTACTCCTGACACTGAACCTAGTTAAATTTCTCTGGGGTTTCAGTGAACATTTGAACTTGAATGAACATTGTTCGTTGTGTTTCAGTTTGATTTTGGGATTCTGTTTTTTAGCTTGCCATGACTCACCCAAGCCATCACTTGAACTTTGGAATGAATCCAGACCATGCCAGAAATTCCTTATCAAATTGTGGGATTCGGCAACCCAAATATGGGGATAGGAAAGTTCACCATATGCATATGAGGAAGAAAGGTCAGTTTGATTGTCTTTCCTGTTGCCATTTCCTCCTCTGATGTGAGCATTGAAGTCGCTTGCAAGAGTTCTTCATTTGAACCTTTTTTAAAAGCAAGTTTTGAGAAGTAGAACATTTATTGTTTCTTCATAAATATTGTCCCTGTAATTATCAGACTACAGTGGTACCTTGGTACTCAGCTGCTTTGAAACTCATCAAATTTGGTACTCAACGCATTTTGTGCAAAATTTTTGCCCGGGTACTCATCATTTGTTTGGTACTCAACGCACAAGCTAACTAGAACTTGTCGATGTTGGTGGCTTTGTGACTCACTACATTATTCCTTATAGGAAAGATTTGTTTGATACTCATCATTTTTGGTACTGATTGTATCTCCTAGAACCAATTAACAATGAATATCGAGGTACCACTGTACATTAGACCAGAGGAAATTATCTTACCAGACTGAAAGGAAGCTACAATATTGAATATATGACTATATCTTTAAATGTGATTTTGTATTTTACAGGTATAAACACTTTGATCAATATTATGTCACGTCTTGGTCAAGATGATCCAACTCCTTCCAGGTATGTATATAAATATTATTTTCTCTCTGGGCATAAGAAGTATGCATTACATGTTCTGACCAAGGCTTATTGAGACACTTAGCAAACACACGTTAGTCCCCAAACCCTTTTTTTCTTTATTTCAACGGCTATGAATTTTAGTCATTCATAGCCCATAATGAGTCTCAAACTGTCCCATGGAAGTCTGCCAAACTCCTTCAGGATACGTCTGATAAGTACACACCTCTATCTTTGAAATGCTGCCAACGACTAAATTTCCAATTAGTTGTACAGGCCAAACATAGCACAAATTCAACACAGAGCTTCAGGTTTCAAACCGACCAGTTTGAACAAAGTTGCTTCCTGCAAAGGCTCATGTCCCTTTGCTCCTCCTTTATGTCTTATGGGAGGGCCAATCACCTCCAAGCCTTACTCCCAAGTCGCCCCTTTTGTCTTAATTGTTCTTGCCTTGTGGCAGCTTTGTGCATGCGCACACTGGGAACAGGCTCCCCCTGTTCCTCTGCCTCGCTGCTGTCAGATTCTAGAGGCTCCAGAGTCAGCACATAACTCACAGATGACCCTGGCCCCATCTCTGTATCAGATGCAGAACCCTCATCCAAGTCCTTCCCAAACTCCCAGATTGGCCCTTATTCTTCCCCATTGTCTGACTCTGCTACCGTCTCCGCAGGCTGCCATCGGACAACAACATTTCAAGTGTGTGGCAACAATATTCACATTATGTAATGCCTGCCTGCATTGATAGAACAAGTCTTCAGAATTTCAGTTTAATTAATGGGAACATGGTGCATTTACAATGAGAGAGTACATGGTGTAAAATGCTGGAGAAGATACAAGTTCACAAATGCAGAAGGAAAGCTGCTTCTGTACAAACTAGGATTTGCAACTCAAGAGTCAGCTTCAAGTAAAATCTACCAAGAGCTAGTCTGTGGTTTATTTCATGACTGCTTGTTGGTGTTATTATTGTTAGTTGATCCTAAAAGGCAGAAACTATCCACCACTTCAATATTTTCATTGTCAATTCTAATACTCTGTACTGTTTTGAATATTCAAACTACATCAAAATTTCTGCCTAGTCCTGAAGCCCAGCTATCATTTAATAAGCAATATCATGTTCTCAACTGTCGAGAAATTCTGGTCTGATGTGGTCTAATTAGGCAGAGTTACAGGCGATGCGACATTTACAGCCAGTGAGAGTAAAGGGAAAGAATAATTTTGGATGGATCAACTCTTAGTTGAATTATGCAGTCCTGAAAGTGCCAAGCCACCTATAGCTTTATAAGTCAAAATTAGCCCTTTGAATTGCAACTAAAAATCTGTTGGTAACCAATATGGGGCAGACCGCATAGGTGTAATGTAAACATAATACTCCCACCATTTTAGCCTTCTGGCAAACCCTGGCTTTGCTGCTGGCCTGGGGCCCCGAAGGGAGCGTTCGCCGCTGGAGGTGGCTGACAGAGTAAGAAGACCACGTCCCTATCCTATCAGTCTCTTGGTTCTGATTTCAGTACAATTTTAAAATCATAATCCGTGCAGTTTTAATGTTTAAATATTTAAATTATTTTTACTTGTGGTATTTGTAAGCTTATAGGGGAGGTGGGTGGAATAGATAGATAAAATAAATATATAAACACACAAACACATAAACAAACAAACATTAGTGACTAGCACCAGTCAATACATGGAACACTGCTTTTAGCCAATTGTGTTTTTGAGGTGGACTTCAAAGGAGTTCCATGTTCATTGTCAAACTGTGTGGTGATAAGGTCACCAGTCAGCATAGCTGGGTGGTCCTGCTCAGTGGTGGGATTCAAAAATTTTTTACTACCGGTTCTGTGGGTGTGGCTTGGTGGGCGTGGCAGGGAAAGGATATTGTAAAATCTCCAGTCAGATGTTCTCTGAACTACTCAAACTTTACATTACCGGTTTTCCAGAACTGGACAGAATCTGCTGAACACCACCTATGGTCCTGCTGTAGAATGATGCTCCTGGAGCTTCTCTTCTTATGATTTACGGGGATAAATGGGGCTAGAGGATATTCCAGTGCTGATATATTCCATAGGAAATTGCTATTTCAGGCAGGCTTAACAATTTCAAAGTTATATGGAGCTTGCTGTTTATTCTAAATGATTGAGATAGCAAAGTACATTGCAATTTCTTATTATTTTCTTACTGCCTATTGTTTCCAATATTCCGATAAAGATATTTTTCTCCAGATCAGTTATTACTTTCTTTAAATGTCATTAGTTTTCTTCATATTCAACTTCATAAAGTAGAATAGATTTCTCAAAATAATATAGCCCAAATATTTGCGCAGGCCAATCATATCGGTTCTGGCATAGGAACATTTTTCAGGAATGTTTGCAATTCAGAATTTAATGGGAATCCTGCCTTTCAATTTGTGTGGAGAGCTGAATTTTATAGATTGTGTATCATTCTTAGGCTATATCTGACAAACCTGTGTAATTACAGCAGTGTCATATATACTACAGTGGAATGATTTTGATGCTGTTTGTTCTCCTTTTTCTCCACAGAAAATTACAGTATATTTAAATTAAATCTTTACTCCCTCCCATTATTCTGAAGTAAATTAAATCTAAACTTAATTACTTTTAATCTTTCTGTGAGGGGAGGAGTGAAAGAAGGAGATCTAGTATGTGTAATATATAAGTGAGATGTATACCATAAATAGGTGTGCCATCCAAATCTTAATGTAGGGCCCTGGTTGTGTTTAAACTGTGATATTTAAGACTGAATCCTTACACATAATTTGCAAATTATTGATACTGTTGTTGCTAATCATGGGGCAGGAGAAGGACCTGTGCAATCTTTTGAAATCCCGCCTCAGGTTTTTTTTAAATCTATTTCTTAGTTGCACTGGAAACTACCATATATTGAATCCAAATAGTGATCTATTTAGATTTGCTTCATTGACAGTATCTGGCTGTGGATTTGGGGCAGTGCTTAACATGGAAAACTCTGTTCTGTGGCCCTTCATTTAAACTTCTCTGTCTTGAATGGCAGCAGGAACGATCATCATGTCAGCGTTCCAATGAAACTCCCCATTTCCATTCAACACTCAAAAACAAAGTTCATCCAAGTAAAAATTTATTAAAGAAGTCATATTGGCACATCTGGGAGAACCCAAATCTGAGAGTTCCGGGTTTTCCCTTCCGCAAGAGAAATCAAAGATCTATCCCCTGCACCCATCACATGGCCATTACATGGCCCAATCAAATGTCATCCCAACTGGAACCATTCCTCCAGACACTCCTCTCCAGATGCAGGGTGACTTGCCCTTGACTTTTAAGAAAGAATGTTGTTGAGTCTACTCTTCTACTCACTAAGAAATCCCCCCCTACCAAATTCCCAGGCACTAACTGTGGCAGCCTCGAAGCTTCTAAGTAAAATATGGCTTCCATGGCTGACACATCATCGTTCTCGTATCACAATGATGCCAGAAGATCTAGATTGAATTTTTGTGTTTTTTTTCACATGCCTTTCCTGAGCTCCATGTGTTTTTCATATGTCCACCTTGGGTCTACACATTTCAGCTGGTTTTGCTAGTTAATTGTAGGTGCCAAAAGCTACTCACACCTGCTACCCCCCACCCCCAAGGAATCTTACAGTGAAGTAGCAGAAAGTTGAATCTACAGCATATGTATTTATTGCACTCTCTACCCTCAAGACATGATACCACTTTTGGAATATGATGGAAGAAATAATCCTAATTTGCAAGTGATAGTCTAGTTAGCCATCTAGTTGCATCAGAAGTTTAAAAATGTATTAGCAATAGCAATAGCACTTAAACTTACATACTGTTTTATAGTGCTTTACAGCCCTCTCTAAGCAGTTTTACAGAGTTAGCATATTGCCCTCACAATCTGGGTCCTCATTTTACCAACCTCAGAAGGATGGAAGGCTAAGTCAACCTTGAGCCTGGTGAGATTCCACCTGCCAAATTGCAGGCAGCTGGCTGTAAGCAGAAGCAGCCTGCAATTACTGCACTCTAACCACTGCGCCACCAAGGCTCCTCGAATTACCTTGAATTGACCATAAGATTTTTTCCCCTGATTACCATAACTGAATTTTTGATCACCAATGGCTATCTTTTTGGAGGGAGGAATGTCACCCAGTCCTGCTCTCAGTATTTTGCTTTCCTGCACAATCATCTTTAGAGGCCTATTAATCCCTTTAGCTGCAGGTCTGGCAATTTCCTTCTTGTTCAAAAGGCAAGGACACAAGCTAAGAATTGTGCCAGCGCCTGCATAGAACTGTAGGGAAAGCTTTTTTCATTTCAGGTGGTTGGGTCAATACTGCATTTTCTACAGGGCCCAGCAACTATTTCCAAAATTTCAGGCACTAGTTCTTTTCTAGAGAGAAATGCCAAGGACTGAATATGTAATGTTTTGCATGCAAAACATGTAGTTCTCTCATAAGCTATAATCCTGCTTGTACCTAGAGAATAAAAAATGCTGAAGAAGAAGACGGGTCAGGCTCACTATTATAGCTGCTTCAAGAAACAGCGTGCTCCCTGCGAGGTGCTTTTCTTTTTTGTTTGTGTATGGCAGCAAGAGTCTATCGATGGCTTAGCGGCAGGCATTTCTTTTAAATCATTGACAGGCATAACAGCACACGGAAAAGTCCCTCGCAGCAGGCTTCTGCACGTCATTATCCTCTCTTACTAATCAGTCAACACAAAATTATAATCTGCCTTATTATCTTTCAGGCCGCCTGTGGCTTTTGTATGGTGGCAGGGAAGCCCAGATATTCACTGTTGTGCATCGGGAATTCAGCATTCCGAAAGAAAAACTGCAGGAGGCTAACTTTCTCTGCTTATTGCCCAAAGAAGTGATGGCTAGCTGCTTGCCATCAGCAGTGTCCCTGGTGGGTGCAAGAATCACTCTTAATCACCTTTGCATTCTTTTGCAGGATTAACCACAACGAACGCTTGGAATTTTTGGGAGATGCTGTGGTTGAGTTTTTAACCAGGTAAGTGTTTGCGTTTAGGTCCGGCACCTGATTCTGCCATGCAATAAATCATCCCTTATTCACCTCTGAACCCTATTTAGTCACTGAGAACAGATAGGCAGCCCTCCAAAAACGCTGTCCAGTAGCAAATTCTACCATACTTTTTTTGTTGTTGATTGTGGGAAACTTGGAACTAAATTAGAGGGGAAAATGTGGACCTACCCTGTTTTTAAACCTATAAAATACATCTCTGACCAGTGGGTTTTTTTGTATGATTTCATCATTGCTAACAAGAAAACTTACCCACCTCCACATTTGTATCTTTTTCAAAATTGTGCGGCATTTCTGATGTGCCAAGCATTTAATTGTACATATGCCTTTTTGACATATTTTGAGTTGGATTACCATATTTTGAGCAATGCTCGTTTTCCCTTAGAGATAGGAAATGGAAACTATTAGACAGGGATTTGCCCAGTATTGCTTCTGCCTCCTGCCCACTTCATTGATTAAAGCACCAAGTGCATTTTCCCTCAACTTGTCTAATGACCCATGTGCCTTCAAGTCTAGTTGGACCTACATTCTGGATTGACCCAGGTCTCTGTCTAAGTACTGTCACAAATACTATACAACTGTTGGAATTTTGTTAGCAAATAGTTGAATTAAAAAGTAGGCTTCCCTTACATATCCTGACTATTTCAAGGAATGATCATAGAAAGGATTAATTTAAAAATGTACCCCAAAATTGGTTTTATTTTATAAACAGAGGAAAGATCTGATCCTAAAATACAAGCATGTTAGTACCACTTTATAATGCCTTAGTAAGACTAACTAGAATAGAATAGAATAGAATAGAATAGAATAGAATAGAATAGAATAGAATAGAATAGAATAGGCCAAGTGTGATTGGACACACAAGGAATTTGTAGTGTAAATACTCTCAGTATACATAAAGAAAAGGTACGTTCGTTAAGAATCAATAATCATAATGTACAACACTTAATGATAGTCATAGGGTACAATCAATAATCAAATCATACTAACTGGGAGGGGATGGGTGATAAGAAGTGGTGAGAAGATTAACAGTAGTAGTAGTGTACTCTTTGTAAATAGTTGAACAGTGTTGAGGGAATTATTTCTTTAGCAAAGTGATGGCTTTCAGGAAAAAACTGTTCTTGTGTCTAGTTGTTCGGGTGTGCAGTGCTCTATAGCGTCGTTTTGAGGGAAGGAGTTGAAATAGTTTATGTCCGGGAAGTGAGGGGTCTGTAAATATTTTCACAGCCCTCTTTTTGACTTCTACAGTATACAGGTCCTCAATTGAAGACAGGTGGGTAGTAATTGTTTTTTCTGCAGTCCTAATTATCCTCTGAAGTCTGTGTCTGTCCTATTGGATTGCAGAACCAAACCAGACAGTTATAGAGGTGCAGATGATAGACTCAGTAATTCCTCTGTAGAACTGTATCAGCATCTCCTTGGGCAGTTTGAGCTTCCTGAGTTGGCGCAGAAAGAACATTCTTTGTTGTGCTTTTTTGATGATGTTTTTGATGTTAGGTGTCCATTTTAGGTCATGTGATATAGTAGAACCTAGAAATTTGAAGGTCTCTACTGTTGATAGAGTATTGTCTAGTATTGTAAGAGGTGGTAGTATAAGAGGGTTTAGTCACCATGATATAAAAAAGATGCTGAGATTCTAGAAAGAGTGCAGAAGACAGCAACAAAAATGATTAGAGACTGGAGGCTAAAATATATTAAAAAATGGTTGCAGGAATTGGTTATGTCTAGTTTAATGAAAAGAAGGACTAGGGGAAATATTGCAGCAGTGTTCCAATATCTAAGGGACTGCCACAAAGAAGAGTGGGTCATCCTATTCTACAAAGCACCTGAAGGGAGGACAAGAAGCAATGGATGGAAAGTAATCAAGGAGAAAACCAGGCTGGAACTAAGCAGAAACTTCCTGTTAGAACAATGAATCAGTGGAATGACTTGCTTATATAGATGTTAAGGGTGCTCCAACAGTGGGTATTTTAAGAAGAGATTGGAAACCATTTGTCTGAAATGGTAGAAGGTTTCCTACCAGAGCAAGGGATTAGACTAGAAGACCTTCAAGAGCCCTTCCAGCTCTGTTATTTTGTCATTTAGACGTGATACTAAGCCAGGGCTGGACTGCTGGGGGTTTGCAGGGGTTCATGAGAGCCCCTAGCTAAGATTCTGTGCAATTTGGAGAACCCTCAAATCCCACTCCTGGCTGGCCCTGCCCACCCCATTCCGCCCTCCTAGGAGTCCCCACATTGCCTATTTTGGATGCAGGTAAGTGCAGGGTGTGCATGGAGGCTCGGGGCGGGCAAAAATGTGCCTCCCAGAAATTCGGGAAGGCTGGAAATGGGCCTATTTCTGACTTCCAGAAAGACTCCAGCACCTGGAGAGGCTGTTTTTGTCCTCCTGGAGGCTTGAAAAAAGCCTCCAGAGCCCGGGGAGGGCAAAAATTCCCTCTCCCCTGCCATGGGGCAGGAGGTTGACTAGGCCACGCCCACCATAGCTATGCCCGTTTGCTAAAATTTTTGAAGCCCACCCCTGTCCTAAGCCCAAATTATAACTGAGCTAAGCCTTCTTCTCTTCTTGCTGTTATGTCCTTAGTGGCTGGAATAACACAGGTAAAATGGAGATCCTTTATTATCTTCTGGCCTTCATGCATTTCTTTTGTTTCTTTTAAAAAATATATCTCCTTTCCCTTCCAGTCTCCTTAAACTAGTAACCTACAATTGGAGATGAGTGTCTGTTTTTGAAATGCCTAAAGCTGAAGAGCATTAGAAGACTGAAGAAGTCTACTTATTATCCCAATGGGATGCTTCCCAAGTATTGGGCTTTTGCCTTCTTTATTTATTAACTCATTTCTTCCATCCATTGGTTTCAGAATAATTGCTGTGTGACATTTTTTGGATGTTATTGTAGAAGAGAATAAGAGAAGTCCATAGATATTTCTGAAGTTTAATACCATGTTCAGGCCCAAAAGCATACTAGAGTGAAGTGAAAGGCTCGTGTTTTTGTCCTATTAAATGTAATTTAGAAATCCTTATAACTGTGATGACCCAGAGTGTAACACAAACATAACAAAATCTCAACATAAATAAATGTCCTTTAATGCCTCCAACTTGGTCTCACTGTTCAATAATTCTCAGTTGGAGGTAAAACGTACTCAAAAATAGTCTTTAAAAGAAAGCAATACAGTCCAAATTTAATGAGCAGATAGAGGTGAAAATAAAAGCCAAACAAGCTACAATGATGAAATTTCCACAGCGGAACAGGAGAGGTATTTACCAAATTCAAGGAGATAACAAGGCACAGTCTGTTGGATGCCAGCCAAGATAACCTCAAACCAAAATAAAACATACTTTGTCTCCAGTGTTTGCCAGAACGCAGGTCCAAATTCTTATGCAATTCTCACACCTGCAGCCCATGAAGAGGATCAAGGCCCTCTCCTCCTGAGTAGACCACGTCTCTCCCGTATCCTCCTCCCTGTGTGCCCTAGGATGGATAGGGGATGTGCCTGGGTCCTCCTCTGACTGCTCAGCCGGCCTCTGCCCTTCCCCAGCCTCCTCCACAATCTCTGGAGTCACACTTCCACTCCCTGTCAGCTGTTCCTCCTCTCCCTCAGGGTCAATCTCCACCAGGGGCATGGTAATAACTGTTCTGATCAGTGGTTAGTTTAGGACCAAAATGCTTCTAAGTTTATAGCCAGCAAATAAAAGTTATACATATTTTGAGATGGTGTCGTCTTCTAGTCATGGAACTCCTTTATCTTTCTGCCTATAATTTCAAGCATGATGTGAGTTTCCAAGTAAATCTCGAAACATTTCTTCCCTTTCAAAGTCTGGTATTCGTTAATCCTGCCCTCATAAAGGCAAGCTTGGCATTCTGCCTTTTTTAGGAACAGGCAGTCACATACATATATTCACAGTTTTTTTAAAAAAATAAATCACTAAGATCACTAAGTTCCTTCCAGTTAATGGATGATCACTCAGTCATTTTGGCTTTGTACGTTTTTCAAAAGTACTGAAAAATGACCAGAAAAAAAAAAAAATCCCACTAAAATTGACTTCAGCTCAGATATTTCAGCTTAGTGAAAACAGCAGCCATTTTCTTGATAAGTGTTATTTTTGAGAGAAGGCAGTATAAAAAAAAATCAAAACCTGAAGTAACAGCTTTCAAAACCAATTTCAGATCTCAGCTGTGTTCGGAAAAGTAGTTGTTTTATTTAAAGAGAGGCTCTAAAAATATTGCAGCATTACAAGATGAAGGAGGGGGGAAAACTGCCACTATCAATGCCTTCTAACAACTACTTTGAAAGAGTAGTTTGGAGCTTTTGTCTTGTTTCTAGTAAAAAGATTTTTTTAAAAAAATCCTAAAAATAATATATTTTGAATGACAGCTGGTTTATTTAATGCCATCACATATTGCCATGTTGTACTATTTTGGATTATAAAGGGTTTTTTTCATGCATTTTCTTGAGATTCGAATATTGGCACGGTGAATGTGTAACTTCTTCTGATGTCATTTCTGCAAATCACCTAGACTCCTCTGCAACATTTCTGAAATCAAAAGTCTAGCTCTGATGCCTTTTTACTGAAGAGGAAGATCAGACAGGCAAACACAGAGAACATCTCTGGCCCGAGGAAATTTAATCTGCAAAAGATCTTCCCATCACCCTGCAAACTCACTGTTAAAATCTTTCCTTAAGCATCTTCTTTCCACTCAGCAAGGGAATTTGTCCTCTCACCAAAGTCCCACTGTTTCACGACAATGTTATCCTGATGCTACCAGTCCTAGGCTGCAAATATCAATCAATCATGGCATAACAGCATAGAGAGGCAAAAAACTATGAAGTGACTACAAGTTCCTCAGGACTTTTTTGTTGTTGTTGTTAAAAGCTAAGACTGCTTACTTTGAACTTTCCACAGCTGACAAAAATCCTCCAAACCCACTCTGAGAGCATGAAGCTTGAATCTGTAAAATTATTTGAGAAACAGGCCTTATCCTTCTCAGATATAGTCATTCTTTTGAGCAACCTTGCTTAGGTTCATACTATAGATTTATTAGGTTAAATATACTCCCAGATAAATCTCCATATAATGAGATTGAATTCAGGGCCATTTACTTTGAAGGAAGCGTGGCTAGGCCATGCCTCTGAAATTCTACATTTTCATCCGATCATTTCTATAAAAACATACAAAGAGGATGAATAAATGTTTTAAAGTCAGTTTTTTTCCAGGAATTAATGTATGAGTGAGGTTAGTGATGCGCTTATAGAATCAATTTTATCTATTTCTTTTAACATTTATTCCTCTCTATCCTTTTAAAAAAAGCTTTTAGTACCTTGCAGAATTGTTCTAAAACTAAAACTCTTGAATTTAATGGAGGAATTGAAAGCCACAATATATCGTGGAACTTGTTCTTTGGCCTTCCTTCCTTCCTTCCTTCCTTCCTTCCTTCCTTCCTTCCTTCCTTCCTTCCTTCCTTCCTT